ATATAGTAGAGTTTAATGTTTGTTCCACATTATTAGTCGAGTTTTTCTTAAGGACACTCGCGGATATGAAAAAAAGTGTTTTCTTCCCAATTTTGTCCTTTTATGACACGTCACTCATCAGTACATAAAAATAAAACTCGGTTTCATGCAACTATCTCCAATCTCCAATCTCCAATATTCTATCTCCACTTTTGTGTTTGCATTATAGATATTGCTGAAGTCTTGTAGCCCAGATCCTCAACCCACTTTTACAACAATTTCAGGCTAAAAAAAGGCCACTCTGATCTTTAGAAATTCTCATAATGAGCTTGGTATCACTTGTCCACTCTGATCTTGAAAACTATRCTTGTGTTACTACTTGAATTTGCATTCTATCCCCTTCTCAAATGTCTGTCTGCATTCTTTTGAGTAGAACCAACTGCAATGATTAGCTAAACGAATCAAGTTTCGTTGAGTTTCTTGTCCTTTATCCATCTTTTTCACTCGAGTTTTCAACTATGAATCTCCTGTTAATTTCTTTACTTGGGTTCTTTTCCATGAATGTGATGAATATGTAGGTGGTGGTAGCCGTTGATCAGTTGGGGACAATCAATACTTCTTCAAACCATCTGGACCCCTCACAAAAGTACATCCAAGTAATCACGAGGGACWGTCATGAATTCTGGTTCATGGGATTCATATCATATAACAAGGCTGTCAAGACTTTAACCGACGCGTTCCAGCAATCTCGTGCCTAGTTTGGATGCAACCAAAATGCTCCACTTTGTTCTATACTCTATGCAGATATCTTTTTTATTTTTGTGAGCAAGTGGGTACAAAGATTTTGAACCTCCAACTTCGAATCGACTGACTTTATCGGTCATGTCGAACCATCATTCACCGGTGGTAACTCATGAACATTTGCAATGGTACAAAAATGGTTATATTTCTGCAATTATTTTTATAAAACAAGGTTGTTTGTATCTTACACTTGTGAAAACTAAGGAACCGATGCTTGACTTGAATTATTATTGATAACTTAGCGCAGGTTGTGCAGAAATTCTAGGGATGTCTTTATTGAGTTTGTGATCCTCATTTCTCTCTCTCTCTCTCTCTYTTTCATCTTCCAATACCAATCCATTTACCAAGTTCCTATAAGCAACAATATCTTATCAATAAGCCACAAACATCTTTGTTGGGAGGCTGAAAAGTCAACTACGAAGGTCGAGCTTCCCCTCAAGGAAATAGCTTAGGCCGAGCTTACAGGTCGAGAAAAAAGCCTTGAGCTCCCATACGAAGTCCTGAAGTCGGGCTGCTATGTACGGCAAATTCAGCCCCCAACACGGTCAGTAGTGAATGACAGATCACCTACCCACCGCATAGTAGAATGGACCGATGGGACGGGTAACCATCCATTTCCTCCTATAAATACACATTCGCTCCACTCGATCAAGTATGAAATTTGTCTGAAGCTGATCTGTCAAAAGCTCATACGTAAAACTTACTTATGCATCGGAGTGCTCTACCTATTTTTGTAGGTCTCCGATCCCCAACTCGTTCATTCTCATCAAGTCGCTCCACGATACTTGAACAGATTTTGGCAGCAACAATGTTATTGAATAAATATCTATAAATGAAGGAATATAAATATTTCCCAAAAAAAAAAAAAGAAAAGATGTGAAATGAGAATTAGATGCTTGCAATTTCACTTTTATGGCTCTTTTTTGGGCCTTTCTGCAGAACTGTTGGGAATCTGTTTTCTGAAATAAGAATTATTTACAAAAAGAAACCATTCCCTCTCCTTCATCCAATTAGGAGACATTTCTTTAATCTGCAAGCAATAGAATGGAGAAGCAAATTTGCATTTGAATGGGAATAAGAAGATTTGATCAAGGCGTCTATTAAGGACTTTATCTCATCATTTTAGCTTTTGACAATTTTTGGTCTCTCTCCATTCAGATTATTATCCACAAAAGTAAATTGCTCAACTTTTTGTTCAATTTATGCCAAAAGAAAAAGGATATTGGAGAATAGATCTGTTTTTTCCCTTTTCCCTCTTTCCCAAGCAACTTCAAACTTAGCTTTACATCAATTTACTACTAAAACTTTCATTTTAGTCCCTGTAATTTCATAATTTTTCATTTTGGTCCCTAAAAAAGAGAGAGGTCTGCCCATGTCAAAATTTTATTAGATCCAAAATTCAAAGACTAAACCATAATGTTTTAAGGTTTATTGAGAAAAAAAGTGGTCTTATTTAAACCTAAACTTTTGTTTCCTTTCATTAAACTATAATTAAGGATTAAATAATGGACTAAAATACTATTTTTTATCTCTTTACTTTTTATTTGGTTTGTTTTGGTCCACACTTTTAAAAATTGATTTTTTATCTCAATTTTTTGGATTACAATTTTGGCATGATACTATATTAAATATATTTCTTCAAATATAGCTATAATTTTATGTTAAAAAAATTCCCGTTGGGTATAAAATTTGTATTAGAAGTTTAAAAACAATAATCAAGATGATTAGTTTTAAAAATATATAAGGACACAAAATTGCATTTTAAGTTGCAAAGAGTAAAATGAAGCAACATAATGAATATCTTAAAAATAAACGAAAATAAATTAAAGTTAAAGTATAGTAATCAAAATAGTATTTTATAGTATTTTAACACCTAATCAAAATACTATTTTAACCCAAAATGAATATATATATATATATATATATATAAATCTATAGGTTTTTTTTACAATAAAATATACATTATATATATAGTAAATCTTTATTAAGAATTGTTTAAACAAGGGAATGAGTCTGACACAACACCAAATTCGTACTTTTCCTTTTTTTTAGTACTTTTTTTTATAAGGTGGAATTTTTTAGAAAAAGCAACTTCTTCTTAAATATTATTATTATTATGATCGAATATTACATTAGTAAAATTAATCAAATAATCATTGAAGCGGGACGTGTCACCGCCCACAAAATCTCCTATAAATATATTTCTTTTCAACATTATATCTATTTAATCACTCGTCTTTAAAATTTTTGTATAAAAATTTATGGATTTAGTCCGTCAAATTTTACAAATTATCTCTATAATTACAATAAATTGTTATAATGAATTTGTGAATTTTTTTTAATTATCAACATTTTGTTAATGGACTAAATAAAATAATTAAAGTATTTATACAAATTTTTAAATTTTATGAAGCTACATCCATCCACATGTAATGTTGAAATTAATTGAACCAATTTTATTTTAATAACTTTTTGTAAAAGAAAAATGGACGAATACACCTAAGATATTCCATATTTGAATCGAAATAACGTTTTTAAAAAATAATAATAAAATAAAATTGAAGAGGACATCTCAAACGTGGATGAATGAGACACCTGGCAATGGGACTCGCTGTCAGAGGAGGAATTATTTGGCAGTGGCGAGGTGTCCAGAAGGCGACGCGTGGCAGAAGTGGGGCCTGCCACGAGCCCTGCTGTCCACGTGGGACCGGTTCTCGTTTCTCCTGTTTGGCGGCAAACTAATTTGTCGTCTTGTGCTGGTGCGGGTCCCACACTCCACATCATTGCTTCCCACAACGAGAACGACGGATCCGTATTATTCATCATGCACCGCTGAACCAGAAAACTTCCCCCACTCAAAATTATTCTTTTTCTATTTTATACATCTTTGTAACTCTTAATTTTATATCCTCGTCTTTTACATATTTAAATCTTTTTTTTAATTAATAGGTCTATTACGCTGACAAATTTATAGATTTTAAGAGATATTATAGAGTTTAAAGATTTATTAAACATAAAATCCAAAATTTAAAATAAATATTTCGAGATTTATTAGATACGACTTTAAAAGTTTTTAAATACTTTTTAAAACTTATTTGTTAATTATTTCGTAAACTATATTATATAACTCGTTACTTACTATATCTTTACTTATTTTGAGAGGTTACAAGTTTGATTCTCATCCTATATATATATACAAAGCATGTCAAAATAGTTTCTTCTAATAGTTCAAAGAACTATACATTATTTTTTAGTTTTGAATTTGAATTTTAATAGTTATGTTTAGTTAGCTCATAACTTGTACTCGTCGTCTCCTCTCTTTCAAATTTGATTACAGTAAAGTTCTATCATTAGTTAAATATTTAGCTGTGAATGGACTAAAAAATGTATATATAAAGAAAATGATATAAGGAAGAAGATACTTATTATAGCAATATTATAATTTTTGCGATGTGACATAAGGGAGTTAAACACTACGAGATAAAATAATGATAGGTGGGCCTAAAATAATTCATTTTAATATAATATTTTAGGCAACTCTATGATACTAACAATATTAAGAATTTATGAAATCTAAAATTGAAAGTTTATGCTTGCGAAAATGTAGATTACAGTATTTGGTATATTAATACAAATTTGTCGTAATTTAGCAATAATGATCGATATATCCATATTATTTCAATTATAAATAATCATACATTGATACTTAATTTCTAAACTTTTTATATGTTTAAATTACAAATTACATTTTATATTTTGTTTACTTCAAATTATTTGTTAAAAATATTAGAAAAGAAAAGTTAAACTACCCCAAACTTGTCTAAAAACATCAAATTAAAAAAAAACACATAAACACTGTTGCTATTTTGAAATTTGCCTTAAAAAAAAACTACTTCACATGTAATTTTGAAAGTGAGAAGTTAATATGAGAATAAAATATATCTCAATAATCAATTAAGTCATATATTCCAAATAAAAATTTATTAATTTAAATCTCCATCTCTATACTAAAATATATATAGAAAATAAATGGAAATCATGAAAATTTTAATATAGAAAAACGATTTAACTAAAATTATTACATAATCAATTTTATCAAACACGCAAAAGCGGTTAAAATTAGACCAATTATACCATAATAGGCCTTGAAAATCAACGGGAAACGGGCGTAAATTCTAAATTTAAAGATTAACCTAATTTATCTGACCGGAAAAAGTCGGTAACTGCCCGGCGGCGGCGACGCGCCAAATTTGTCGTCATTTACGACCGTGGCCTCCGAAACGGCACCGTATGACGTAGGACAACGACCGCCAATACGCGTTGAAAATCCTGTCTCATCTCGTCTTCATCCAAACAAATTTTTCCCACTTTAAGACGTGACACGTGTCTCTTATTAAATATTAATTTATTATTTTTTTTTTTTTGGATCTTGATTGTAATATTTTATTTCCTTCCTCAACCCTTATAAAATCACTGGATCTACATTCGCGTTTAAGAACGTATTCGACTCACATTATTAAAAAGAAAAAAAATTGACCTCCATTTAGTATCTATATCTTTTAGAATATTATAGTTTAAATAATAGGATACTAATTGGACTCAATGACATGTAAGCTCATGCCTACTAAGTTAAGTATTTTAATTAAGTGAAAACAATATTTGAAATCTAAGTATTAAAGATTATAGGTACAATCCCAATTCTCGATTCTCGTTTCAACTTAAAAGAAAGTAAAAATMCAATTTATTTATTGCACGTAAATATAAGAAAAGAAGGAAAGTTAGAGAGGTAAAAGGTAAAAACTTAGAAGAATATAATATTTAGAGAGAGAGAGAGAGAGAGAGAAAAACATAACATTATTAATCACATGGTGCAAATAATGTCATACACTCTCTCTCAGTCTCACATGGAAATAATTAATGATTGAACTGAAAAAATAAAATCAAGAATTGCAGAATTTGAAAATAATTAAATTTGAAAGTGGTCAGATTTTTTTATATTTTTTATTTTGTGTGCATGGATAATTTGAAGGTTAAATAAGACAAATAAAAAATGTTAAAAGAAAGAAGAGAGGAAAATAATCTCCACACGCGGCATGCCAGCTGTCTGGGCATAGATTCCGTGATTGCCTACATCCGGCCCCATGCTTTCCTTTTACTACCATGAATTTCTCAATTATCAATAAATTACGAATTCAGTCCCTCCACTCGTTTATAATTAGTCTGTGAACTTTAAAAATATCTTATATTATTTTAAATTTGGTTAAAAAATACATTTGTCTCTACCAACAATAAATTGTTACCTACTAAAGTTCAAGGATTAAATCGTTACCAATGTACATGGACTAAATCGTTACAAATGAAAGTTTAAGGACTAAATTGTTACTTTAGCAAAAATACATGGACCAAAAGAGTTTTTTAACCTTTAAATTTTTTCTTTTGTATCTAATAAGTTGTTGATTTATAGATACATTAAATGCAAAATAAAAAAATTTATAGTCATATTAGACGCCTTTTAAAGTTTAGAGATTTATTGAATATAAAGTTTGAGTTTATGTGAACCTACTCGACATTTTTTCAAAATTCAATACTTTTTAAAAATAAAATTCAATAACTTATTAGACATAGATTTAAAAGTTTAAGGACTAAATTTGTAATTTAACATAAAAATAATAGTTGACTCGTTTTTCAAAGCTCCTTTTGAAAGGAAAAACTAAAAAATTATTTTGACTATATTTTTTTTAGTACTTCAAATATGGAGGGTGGGAATTTGAGGAACTTGCCCCTTGTTTTAGGTTAAAAAATTACTATTTTCTTATAATTTATCTCTCTTAAATTTTTAAAATTTAAAAATGAAATATATAAAAAATTTATATAATGTAAAATTGGCATAATCCTAGGAAAATTTCTCACTCCACCGCCGAGGAACCAATATAAAAAGTTTAAAAATTAGGAACTAAAGTGGATAAACATATTGCCAACCAAAACCATATTTAAATCTTTGTTAATTTATTCAATTTTTTGTTTTAATTTAACCCTTTTTCTTTCGAATGCATTCCCAAAAATTCGATATTAAATAGACCTGACGCGTTGTGAAATTCTAGCATCTCTTAATTACTGAGAAAATTCAATGTATATTAAATGCACAGAAAATTCTTAGTATAAAAATTATGGAAATTAATTTATTTTTTCATTAAAGAAAGAAACATTGGGATTTATTCTTTATTTAATGAGCCAACTAAATTCTACGGTACATTTCTTACCCTATTTTAATTTTTACTATCACGCGTTGAAAATAAAGTTGGAATTCTACCCAAACTCAAAATAGAAAAGAAAAAAAAATTTATTCTGGTTGGTCTGCTTTGAAAATATATTTTTAATTTAGTTTACAAACTTTGAAAATATTTATTTTAATCTCAAAAAAAATTTTCTTTTTGTGTGTAATGAAATCGGATCCTTCATTCTTTTGAAGGATAATAAGTATCTTATTCATTAGATCTACGATCAAGAACTTTTTTTTAAATAATAATTTTTGTTTTTATTGTTATTCCGTTAACTAATATTGTACTTATCTCAGCGAACTTAAACATATCTTAACTAGTAAACAACATATATTTAGCCACGTTCGGATCTTCATCCCACATGTTGTTAAGTTAAAAAATGGTTTAATTTAAATACAATTTTATTCTCTTTACTTTCAAATTTAGTTTATTTTAGTCTCTGTGCTTCCAAGTTTTACTTATTTTAGTCTCTAATGTTCATTTTGGTCTCTATATTTGATAATCTTCATCTCTTTTTTGCAAAATTTCAACATAAATTTTATACACAATTGAAACCCTCTAATACAAATGTGTGACTACAATTTTAATATTTTTTGTGAGTTAAATGTAATGCTAAAGTTGTGATATAAAAGGAATGAGATAAAAATAGAAATGAATGAACCAAAATAATAATTTTTTAAAAAATAGAAACTAAAACAGACATTAAAATAACCAACATGAGTTCAACGGTAACTGACAATCTGTCTCTTACCATGAGTTCAAATCCTTCACTTCTACTTGTTGTACTAAAAAAACAGACGTTAAGTAAAATTAAAAGTTAAACAAAATAGTATTTAGAAAAGAAAAGGAAAAAAATCTTAACTACGATTAAAATATTCACATTTTAAAAGGTGGGGATGAAAATATAATTTAAAAGGTTTGAAAGGACCAAAATGAAAATTAAAATGAAAAAGAAAAAAAGAAAAAAAAAAGGATAATTGGATTAAAAGAAGCCGTGAGAAATTAGGGAGGAGAGAGAGAGAGCGAGAGGAGAGAGAGAGAGTATATGTGGTAGCTGTAGATATTCTCGGTTTTTAAGTTCATAGAATTCCTGAGAATGGAAGCACAGGAAAATTGGTGCTCTGAATGCCTTTAATGGCGGAGTGAGAAACAGAGACAGGGAAATTCAAGAAGGGGGTGAGTTGAGAAATGAAACTAGCAAGTTTCGTTTTCAATTGGTATCGTCGGCTGCAGCGTTCTACGAGTCTCTTCCTGCTGAACAAGTGATCGAAATCCGCCCCGATCTTTGATGGCGAAAACAGGTGTGTTTGATTCTGATCCCACGGTCATGGGGAAGGCGACGGAGTTGAAGAAGGAGTTACAGAGACTCATTCTGGCTATAATAGACGACGACAATTACTCCACCGACACCATCGATCACGCTAAAGAGATTCTATGTGCCCTCAAGGAGTTGAAACTCCGGAAGAGATCGCGCTCTTCTAATCTTTACGAGAACCTCATCTGCCCTGATCAATTCCGCTGTCCGCTCTCCAGAGAACTCATGAGAGATCCTGTTGTTGTATCTACTGGCGAGGTTTGTTTCATGGCTCTCTGCTTTCTAGGTTATGTTGAAAGAAATTTGCGCGTTTCTTGATTACTTTTTGTTTTTTCTTATAAAAACAAACTAATGTGTTTGCGGTGTTCTTGTTTCGCGTTTCAGTTCGGGGGGTTTTGTTTGTTTCCCCCCTTCGCGTTGAAATCCTGTGTTTGTGGATCAAAACACGAAGCGCATAGAGAAACGATAATTTGAGAACCTGAGTGTGTTCTTCTTCTCACCATTCCTTCGTCTCTGATTTTATAGTCCTGTAAATCTGCTGTTTCGGAGTGTCTTCTTCTTTTATTCTTCTTTAAATTACACCGTCTTCTATTTGGTGGACAAGAGGTTATTTCGAAAATAAAGTACTTTCGAATTCGATATTTACAGTCTATTGGATTTTCAGGTTTCTGTGCTTTTTGGATTTGGGTTTCCAATTTGATGATTTCTGTTTTGTGACTGTATTATCACTGACATTGCATCTTTGTATTTAATTTTCGAGTTGCTGTATTCGTGTTTCGTGTTGTATTTGAATTGAATGCAAGGTAACGAATATTGACTGTGAATAAATATGGATGATTTTCCTGGAAATCTGTATAATCATTTGTTATATGTATAATTTTGGTGGACTAGATACTAATACCATTATGAATCCTTTGTTACCTCAAGACATGCATTATGGTCGTTTCTGAGTTTTATAATTGTTACATTTTATTTTTACCTTATTGCAGACATACGACAGACCCTTTATCCACAAATGGTTAAAAGCAGGAAACCGGACGTGCCCCAGAACTCAGCAAGTTCTTTCACACACTAACCTCACTCCCAATCACTTGATTCGTGAAATGATTTCTCAATGGTGTAAAAGTCGGGGAATCGAGCTGCAAGATCGTGTTCATTATCTTGATGACGACACGATAACGGAGGCTGATAGGGATCAGTTCCTTACGTTAATAGAGAAAATGTCTATGACAATATCTGAACAGAAAGCAGCTGCAAAGGAGCTTCGCATGTTGACAAAGCGGATGCCCTCATTTCGAGCACTTTTTGGTGAGTCCCTTGATGCGATCTCTTCGCTGCTTAGTCCACTTTGTGGAGATAATTCACAAAGCAGTATTCACACCGACCTGCAAGAAGATGTGATTACGACCCTCCTGAATCTGTCAATCCATGACAACAACAAAAAGCTTGTTGCTGAAACTCCCAAGGTAATACCTCTTCTCATGGAGGCGTTGAGATCGGGAACCATGGAAACGAGGAGCAATGCTGCTGCAGCCCTTTTTACTTTGTCTGCTCTCGACTCAAACAAAGCACTTATCGGGAAATCTGGTGCCTTGGAACCGCTTATCGACCTTTTAGATGAGGGACATCCATTAGCTATCAAAGATGCTGCTTCAGCAATATTCAATCTTTGTATAATTCATGAAAACAAAGCAAGAGCTGTGCGAGATGGTGCAGTTAGAGTGCTTCTAAAAAAGATCATGAAGCAAATGCATGTTGATGAATTGTTGGCTATTCTTGCAATGCTTTCAAACCATCCAAAAGCTATCGAAGAAATGGGAGAACTTGGAGCTGTTCCTTTCTTGCTCAGAATTATCAGAGAAAGTCCTTGTTCACGTAACAAGGAGAATTGCATCGTGATCATCCATGCTATCTGCTTATATGATCGCACGAAGTGGAAGGACATAAGGGAGGAGGAGAAAAGCTATCGAACTATCTCCGAACTTGCTCAGAATGGGACTTCAAGGGCCAAGAGAAAGGCCAGTGGCATACTTGAGAGACTGAACAGGGCAGTTAATATGACCCATACTGCATGATGAAATTCTTGGTGTTGTCATGAAAAAAATTTGTAGATTCTGCCTCTAAATCCCGCACTCTGGTCTTCGATAAGACTCAGTCATCTGTTTGGGTAAATCTTCAATCATCTTTTCTGTATATTCTCTTTTCCTGTGGAGTCTAATTTCGATTTCACTACTGCCAGGTTCATCAGTTAGCACTGTGAATAAATGTGAAGTGAGTTCTGTTGATAAGTTTTTATTGCTTGTTCTTTTGATATTGTTTGGTTTTCCACTCTATCTGTTTCATTGAACTGAACTGAAGTGACAAATTTAGAACTGTTCAAAAGGAAGTGAGCAAATATGATTGGAGGGAAGGGAATAAAAGTGAGAGGAGACATGATTGTTGCACTTGCAAATGTTCCAATTGGATCTAACGTTGGACAAGAACAGAGTTAGTGAATGGTAACAGGAAAAAGTAATGTGCCTCCCTCAGTTTGAATGGTTTCTGTGATATCTAGTTATGTGGTCCATTGAAGATGGACGGAATAGGGAATATTGGATGCCTTCCACCTTTTTGTGAAAGATGTTCTCTCTTTTTAACCCATAATGGTGTGACACTGCTATACCTTAGACTTACCCCATCATCTCTTGGATTGCTTTATAAATTCCTTGTCACTCCATCTACTCCCCCTTCCCATTTTCTATCCGTTCAGTTATTGGTACAACACGTGGGAGTGATGTCTTAACCTGTTTCTATCCATTCAGTTATTGGTACAACACATGGGACTGATGCCTTAACCAATTGAGCTACGCTCAAGTTGGCTTCTATCCGTCATTGGTTAACAAGTCTCAAATGTCAATATCTTCCCTCACGAGCGGTAAGTTTCGATCCCAATCTCCTCCCCTTATTCGTAACGTATAAACTCCTCCTTTTGAATAATTTGTATTAGGAAGGGTGATTTCCCCTTTTCCCTTGCAAGTTCCTATGATCTTGTTTTGTCCTTGTTACAACTTTTTTGTGGATCTTGCTGCAATGGAGGTCAAAATGATAATTATTATGACTGTTTACAGGTTAGTTCAATCAAATACTTGGGAGATGTTAAGATTGATAATATTTTTTGTTCCCAATAGTTTTCTTTTTTAGTAACATCAAATCAAAGCAGGCTGCTTTCCAGTTTCCAGTCCCCTTTTTTGTGTATTTAAGGGAGTGAAAAGTCCCCTCCTGTCCCTGCTAGCTGGATATTTGTTTGTATATAGTCTTCATTTAAATATTCAATTTTCAACTAATTAAGATTGTGATGAGTGATGATACTCTTTTTAGCCATGACTTTGAAACATTCCATCTTATTTTATTTAGAAAATAATACCCAATTTACTATCTTTTTCTTCTCCAATTACTTTTGGAAGTATCACATACATTTTTTTTAGATTAAATACTTTCATTCCTATATTGTCCATATTTGTCACTTTCATCCTTATGCTTAACCAATTAAATCCTTTGGTCCTTGTTAGGTGTTCAAGAATTATTGAGCAATTCACCACTCTATCAAGTCATGTTTTCTATTACATCAATCTCATTTAGGTGTGGGCCAAGAGATTAATAAATTAAGGTAGTAGATGGGAAGATAAAGTGAAACTTTTAAAAATATTTAGAAATAAATTCAAGAGTACCCATATGATGTCCAAGTAAAGAACAAACAGATTTTGTTTTTTAGTACAACTGGGGTGGAGATTGATTTAAATTTATGATTCTTTGATCAGAATAGGTATCTTAACTCTGTGAATTATGATACAAGATAGTATAATGAAGTAAAACTTAAAAAACTTGAATTGCAACTATCATTTTTTAATACAATATATGGAGTTAGGAATTCAAATTCCTAGCCTTTTGTTATAGAGGCCGTAACCAGTTGAGTTATGCTCAATTTGGCTCAACTATCATTTTAAGTTTAGCTCACTTTCAATAATTTCTTCCAATTTTCCATTTTGTAACTTGGGCAAACAATGACATGATATTATTTTTTTTTATATATATATATATATATATATATATAAAACATGTCATTTCACTAAAATAACAATTTAGTCGATGTACTTTCAAATTGTTAATAATTTAATTCCTACCATAAAAAATCTCATCAAAATTAAGTTTTGATTTTTATTATATAATAATCTAGTTTTTGTGATTTATAAATACATTTTGGTTTTTCGTCGATTTATCGATCTAGATATGTAACAACCTTAACAAAATTTTTCACGGACAGAAACTAAATCATTACAATTGGTTAAATTGTTACCAATTTATAGATATACACATATGATTAGTGAAGGTTAAGAATTTGGTTAGGAATAATTTTGAAGAGAGAGAGAGAGAGAGAGAGATAATAAAAGAAAGAAATCCAAAGAAGAGAAGGGTCTACCATGTGGCATATAATGCAAAGTATGGGGTTTTGCTGATATTACTCCATCACATTGGGGTCACCCCCTCCTCTCTTCTGTTTCTCTGTTTTCTTTTTCTTTTTTGTTTAAACAGTCTAATTGGAATCATAAGTTTTCTTGTTGCGTTCGTGTTCATGTTTCATAGTACGTGTCATAAACCAACCACCATGGATTGACCTAATGACACTGATTAGTAAAGAGAAAATAATAAGTTTAAATTTATGGTCGCTACCAATAGTAAAAACATTTTGTTAGACGACGGAAATACCAATGATGACGTCAGGAAACAAAATCTAAGAGAAAACGAATTAGGCATCTAATGGTCCTAACATAATTAAATGATGTATATTAGACTCTTTGCGTACCAGGCTCGTATTTGTTTAAACTTATAAGATTGATTGATATGTATGTAAATTGGCTTACACGCTTGGAAAAAGAAAATATCCTAAATTATATTTCTTAAAATGGTTTGAGTTGGAATCATCTCTCAAGAGATTACTTTAAAATGGTCCAAAAACAACCCTAAAATTCAAATGGGTTCCCTTTTCCTTAATTTAATCATTGTCATACAATTGTTTGTCTAGTTAATGTGTGGTTGGTGCTATAAGATACAACACAAGTCCCTATTTGCTTTTCTTGTCTACAATTATTTTTTTAATTCAATCAATTTTATATGTTCAGTCTGTTCATATGGACAAGTTTTAGTTGAACTGTTACATCAATTTTTTAA